CCGCCCATTTTTTTTTTTTTTTCTCTTTTTGTCTATTTTGTTTTATTCGTGGCATACGCCATATTCACGTAGCACGTTCGTACTTTCTTCTGGTAGGAATCGCGCCCAGATGCATACTGATGTAACTGTAATAACGACCATATGATTTTTCTAAACCCCACCCATGAGTACGAGCCTCTCAGCTGGAGCAGGGCCCTGAAAGGTCTGATGCTTTTTCGAAACCAGTACACCTGTAGCATGCCTTGAGTTCGTATTGCTGGAGGGCCAAAACCCACGATCCTCCATTCTGGGCCGTGCACAACTTTGATCCACGGCGAGGACCTCAGAACCGAAGTCCAGCAGGAGTCCCATTGCCTGCCCGAAACCCTTCACTCCGTTTCACTCCATCGGGAACCACTGCCTCATTCGACATCCTTTCCTTCACGGTCATCCAGCTCCGTTAGTGCACGTTGCTCTTGACAATGTGTGTTGTTGTCAACAGAGGAGTACCCATCGTGCTTGCTCTCGTCAACGGGGTTGTGCGCTATCGCCATTGGTGGTACTGGACGTGAGCAACCTGCAAGCCGACAGAGACGTGGCGCAATAGCGACTATTATTCTAGGGGCAGAGGGAGAGAGAGAGAGAGAGAGAGAGAGAGAGAGAGAGAGAGAGAGAGAGAGAGCTATAGCAACGATCATTCTTGGCGCACAAAGAGAGAGAGAGAGAGAGAGAGAGAGAGAGAGAGAGAGAGAGAGAGAGAGAGAGAGAGAGAGAGAGAAACGATAGGCTTGTTGGGAGTGATCGATCAATCCAGCTTTCTGCAAGGCTGAATGGAGATAGGGAGAGCAGCCGCCCCTGTGAAGGAGAGAAAAGATCATCATACTGTATATATAGAGGGAGAAAGTTTTGAAGGAGAGAGAAGATAGGAAGCAGAGAGGAAGAAAAAACGGACATAGTGGGAGGAGAGCTCGATGGTGACCTCATCAACGCCATCCTCAACTTGTAAGTGAAGGTAAGTTGCTCTTCCAGCTTAATCTTGCTTTTCCTCGTTTTTTTTCGTTTTTTTAATCATGTTTTATTTTCTTCTTTGTAAAGTTCTCTTATGCGCATTTGTTTTTCGTTTTCCTTACCTTACTTCTACTGCATTTTTGTTATTCTTTGTGTGACCACCTTTTCCGTTGTTGCTTTTTGTTTATGTCCTTCTTTGTTTTGTTCTTCGTTTTTGATATCTTGTCTGTATTTCTTCTCCACTTCTGTAGTTCATCTTTTTTGACAGTTTCCTTATTCCTTTCTGTTGGGGACAGGGGGAGAGAGTTGATGAGACGGAGGGAGAAGAGAGGATGCAGAGCCGTCAGAGACAATCGGCACGTATTGGAAGGGAGAAGGTTGGCAGGGTGAGGGAATAGCACAAGGATGGAGGAACACAGTCGCCTTCACACTGACTCGCCGAGCTATAGTGATGGAGGAAAAGATCTGCCATAGCGGTCAGCCACCATGTGGATGGAGGGAGAGAGCCACCCTAGCGTTGGGATGATTTGGGCAAAGGAGGATGGGGGAAACACACACACACACACACACACACACACACACACACACACACACACACACAGAGAGAGAGAGAGAGAGAGAGAGAGAGAGAGAATTGCACGGGAACCGTTTGAAGTGTTCTTTCGTTTATGTCATTTCGTTTTCGTGTCAGATTACTTTGTTGAGTTCGGATGTTGCTCGCTTTCTTTCGATATTTCGAACTGTGGTTTCTTTTCGTTGCTTTTGTGATGTGAATCAACATCTCTGTATTGATTTTTATGTTCTTTCGTCTTCATGGTCTTTCATTCCTTGATGTACTTTCTTCGTTTCTATATTCATATTCGTCCCTCATTTTGCATTTCCGCTATTTATTTTCTTTTTCCATCTCGGTTTTTGTTGTTCGCATTGTTGATTTCATAGGGTTAATGATTGGAGTTATTCAAAAGCTTTTCATTATCATTCCTCGTTATGCTTTGCAATTTCTTTTTTGGTTTGATGATCGCTCTACTTCAGTGGAAGTCTACAATTCTTAGTATGGTGATTCATGGTGTTGGAAGGATTTATTTTCTCGAGGGGCTTTTCATTATCATTCCTTGTTCACTGCTTTGGTTGTTGGTGTTTAGTATAAAGGAGGCTATGATTTCCATCGTCATTCCTCGTTCTCTGCACTGTCGAGCCCCTTTACCCCACCTTGTGCCTCACCACTCCTCTTCGCGTCCCCTCACTACGCACCCTACTCCCCTGTTGGGAGATGAGCTACTGAGAATGGTATACTCTGTCTTTTCCGCACTTTCTTGAATGGTATACTCTGTCTTTTCACAGGCCATCAATGTTCACAGTGGCGGGAAGGGCGGAGGCTGCTCCTTAGTGGGGGTCTGGATCCCCCCACGGCTTCTCCCGTCACCTTTGCTTTGTCACATTCTTGATTGTCGCTTTGTTGTTGGTGGAGCTGATGCGGTGGTCGACGTCGGCAGCGACGTCGATGGTACAAGGGGGAGGGGGAGGGCGGTGATGAAAGGTGGTGATGAGAGTGCGATGGTGCACTGGGAGGAGGCAGGTGATAAGGGGGGAGGGGGGCTGATGAGAGTGCGATGGTGCACAGAGAGGAGGAGATGGAGGCAGAAGTCAGGGAATGAGGGCTGCTATAAATCGGTTTTTTTATAGCCTAGTAGTCGTCCATCTCGTCGTATGGGAAAGGAGAAGGTTGGGTGGGAGGGGAGCCGCCATAGGGATGGAGGGAGAGATCCGCTTTTTTCGGTCATATTTGGAGGGGGGAAAGGGGGGAAAGGGGGGAAGCGAGAGGAGACAAGTGAAAGTCACCCGTCATGGCCCTCCCATAATGCCATGTCTTGTTACGTTGCTGCCCGCAGTCCTGCCTTGTCGCCTCGCAGTTCATGATGGCATGTTGATTGCCTCGATTTACTCTCTTGCTGCCCTGCCGCTTGTATCACTTGCCTCAACACCGTCGAGGGTCTATGTTTGAAATGCCACTTCCTTCCATTTTTTGGACTATTTCATTGTGGATTTCATCAGTGATTGGAATTATGAACTATTTGATTGTGGTTTTCGTCATTAGGATACTTCAGTGCTTTCCTTGTTCTTATTTTGTGTGAAACTCATCAAGTGTTGATTTCTGCTTTTAATTTCCGCCTTCTTTGAAGGCAGGATGATTTCTATTTTTCTTGGTTTGTTTGGTTTTTCGTTGTCACTTCTTGGCTTTAATTGACTTACTATTTGTGGCCTTCGGTTGTGGACTAATTTAGTGGTGTATTTGATTGCTGATAGCCCGCCAAAAGAGGCCATTTCAATGTCAAGAGACATGAGTGCTCGCTCTTTCGCATTTGTTGTGAAAATTGCTTTGACGTCTGTTAGCAATTTCGGCTCAATAATGCCGTTTTGTCTGTGGGTTGTTGTTGCGTTGCTGCGTTATCTTTCTGAGTAACTTCAGTCCTCGGCCATTTTTATGATTACTGTGGTTTTCTTGATACGATAACTCTTATGTTCCTTTTTTGCGTTTTTCTTTTTTTTTGCCGATAATTTTTTCTTTCATCGTTTTTGGTGATTCATCTTTGTTGTGGTGCCTTCGATAGGCAATTCTTTTTCTTGCTTCTATAGGTGCTACGATCGCTCCTTCCCTGGGAGGGTAAGCGTTGTCTCCCGATCCCACCCATTTCATTTTGTCACTTTATCACGTCGTTATTGAAGCTCGGTGGTGGCAAGACCAGCGGAGGCTGCTCCTTACTGGGGGTATGAACCCTCTCACGACTTTTCCTGCGATTGTTTTCCTGCGAAGATGGATTTGGTGTGAGGATCAGGGAGAGGAGATGATCAGGGTGATGCCACCATGGAGGGGAGTTATGGAAGTGAAGTTACTTTACTTGGGTAAAGGTGATGTTCTCGGAGGAACGACACATGCGTTGATGAGACTGGAAAGACGAATCGTGGAGGATAAAGGAGATAGCCGAACCGCCATAAAATGGGAGGGAGAGAGGGAGACGGAGAGGTGTTTTGCTGCCCTTCTTTCATAACCCCCACGCCGGTGGGAGGGAGATACGAGGGATAAAGTGGAGACGATCAAATTGGAGGGTTGCTGCCCATCCTCCTTTGCTGTTGTTTCGTGCTTTCAGAATTCGTTTGTGTTTTTTCTTTTTCGCCCTTGTTGAATGCTCTCTATTTGTTTCATCCTGTTTCCAGAGCTTGACCCCTTTCCAAGGACCTTTTCATTCATTATTTGTTCTTTTTTGTTGTCGTTGTCTCCTTTGGTTGAGTTCATCGTATTCATTCATTTACGTGTCCATTTTTGTCGTTGAATGTTGTTTATTCATCATGCCGGTGTTGTTTGTATATCCTAGCTTCATGTAACTGTTGTTCTTCTCGGTTCTTCGTGTATTGGTCATTGTTGCTCAGCTCAACATTTTTGTCCTTTTATCCACATTAGTAAGTCTCGCGTCACATCACGCTCCTCTTTTGTTGTCCATCTGCCTATATGCACTTGTCGGTCTTTTTTTTTTTCTGCCTGCATTGGGAGTTAGATTCTATACACATTTCATGAGCATTTGTGCTCAGACGCATTAGGAAGAAGCATGTTGAAAGAGTGTTCCGTTGTAGTATGTGTATGTCGTGCACATGCATGACACATTGTTGAAGTTTGTGGGGGAGTAAAGGTGGAAGCCATCACTAATAACTAAACTAGGTTTTTATTGCCTTTATACATGATCGTGGCTTAAATACTTGACGGTCTCATACTTTCATGTTACAGGCTATTCGGTCCAGTACTTGGTTTCTATTCTGCATTTCGCTTTGAGGGGTGGGTGAAATCCAGAGTCTTAGTACTTGGTTGTCGAAAGGCTTACAGATCGCAACCAGATCGCGACCCCCCCCAAGAAAACGTGCATTCCACAGGGAGGGAGAGAGAGAGAGAGAGAGAGTAGTTTTGTGGCCGATATACCGATTGCCCTGCTTGCAACAACGAATCTCTGCCTTTCCAAACGGTGCTGCTTCTGCTTTGTTGTTGTTGTCATAAAGTATGGCGCCCAATGCTTTTCATTTATCAATCGAGATATTGTTTGCTTGCCTTTGCATCTTCGTTATTCGGATTCCTGCAGCAGTCGTGCATCACTTCTTTGTCGTTTTTTTTCGTATTTATATTATATGTATGTACGAAAGTCGTGCATCACTTCTTTGTCGCTTTTTTCGTATTTATATTATATATATCTGCGAAGAAACATTGAGTTTCCATGCCTCCCTATTTATGTTGTATATATCTACGAATAAACACTTAGCTACTACGGATAAAACCACTCCTTTGTATAGCTATGGGTGTCCAATGCAGGAACGACAGTTAAAAGAGCAAGGAATGTGCTCGTCACTCTGCTTTGGTGGGCGGACGGGCTACGATGCATTGACGGGGAGTACACATTCCAGGTAGGGCTTGGCCGCGGGTGCGAAGTGCTGGGGTTCTCTTCGAATTGTCATCGATTCATGCTCGTTCTATCCTGCGTATTTGTGTGTGTGTGTGTGTGTGTGTGTGTGTGTGTGTGTGTGTGTGTGTGTGTGTGTGTGTGTG